ATTGAAAGCTTAAAAGCTCTATCGTCAAAATGCATGCTGGAGAATGTTAAACTTCGATCAGCTTTGAGTGAACTTCTCAATCATGAACTTGCTTTTTTGCATTTAAACTGTGATTATAATTTTGATGGATTGGAGATTGAATACAGTACAGAACAAGGTGATTTCAAAATACTGTAAATTTTTTTTTTTTGCAAATATATTAATTATTAATTTCTTATTACAATTCAAATACAGTACGGATAATGATGGTGATGATGATGATGATGATGATGATGATGATGATGATGATGATGATGATGATGATGATGATGATGATGATGATGATGATGATGATGATGATGATGATGATGATGATGATGATGATGATGATGATGATGATGATGATGATGATGATGATGATGATGGTGATGATGATGATGATGATGGTGATGATGATGATGATGATGATGATGATGATGATGATGATGATGATGATGACAATTATGATGATAATGATGATGATGATGATCGTGATGATGAGGATGATTGTGATGACAATGATGATGATGATGGTGATGATATTGATGATGATTTTAGGAATTCACTCTTTGTTTTGTGAAGTTTTTTTTAGGAAGTTCCTATATTAATGTAATTATAGATTTTTTATTGATGGTTTTGCTTATGTATTTTAGACAATCGATTTCTCGTTAAAAAACGAGCGTCTACTTTATATGACCTTGGTTCGTTAATTAAACTTAATAATGATTCTTCACTTGGTGAAAAAGTTGAAGCAATTACTCTTCATTCAGAATGGCTACGTAGCAATCATAGTGTGCTTAGCAGTTTATATGAATATTGTCTTATGGTTGGCACAGGGCATGCTGAATTAACTGGTAAGAAAAATAAAATAAATTTTTGAAGGCATTGTTGCAGTTTGAGTATAGAATATACAGCGTTCAAAATATACAAAAGTTAAGAATAGAATATACAGCGTTCAGAATTAAGAAAAGATACTGTCTAGTTGGCAGGAAGATTGGGATTGAAGAATACCAAACTTAATTCTGAGCGTTTGATATAATAATGATTTTGTAGCAAGATAATTATATAATAACCAATGTTTTATATATTATTAAACTATTTAACATTTATTTGACCATCTTAACAATATTTGTTTAAAGCTGTGTGTTTGGAATTGCTGTTATTATTGCATGAAGTTGAAGACCACCGCGTTTTATCTGCCCCTCTTTCTTCAAGTATTTCAGCAGGACCCAATGCTCCTCCACTTTTATTAGCTTCAATGACATCATTTTCATTGGTAATTAGTCCTACAATGTTTTTAAAATCTATGGCACATGACCTGCTGCATACTGTCATTAATCTTCCTGGTCTACCAAACCCACAAAACCCTGTCACGAGGCTTTCAGATATGGAGAGTCTGTTGTTTTCTTTATCATCATGCGTTTACCACAGTTTATGTGGTGGAGATGAAGACAAACTTTTAGCATCTTTAAAAAAAGGAGAAACTGAACTTGTTGGAATGCAAAGTTCTGACGGTAAGAGTTTTTTTATTACTAGTTAGCTTCCTTTACTAAATAAAAATTAAGGTTTTTAGACTTTATTGTTGAGTATAGTGTTTAAGACATATTTGGTTTTTGATTAAATTTTTTTCCCATATTCAGTTTTTTTGTTATGTAGATCTACATGTATATAATATAGAATACCTATAATATAGTATATATAATATATTATATATATATATATAATATAGAACATGTTAAGTATTGGAGTATTAATTTATCTATATGTTATGCTCTAACATCATCCAATTTTTATGATGCACTTGATAAAGGGATTATCCATAAATTATGTCATGGATTTTTTGACAGATTTTGACCTTCCACCCCCTCCCCCTCGTCACAAAATCGTAACACTTAAGAAGCAAGTTTTGTATGAGTCATCACAAAACTACTAACCCCCCCTCCTCCCCCTTATAGCGTGACGTAATTTATGGACAACCTTAAAGTGGAAAGCGAAAAAACTTTCCAGTTTTGTTGTTTAATTTAGAAAAATGCATTCTAAATGATATAGGTTGTTTTGTTTTTTTTGTTTTTAAAACTTTATTATTCTTTTTATGGCAATTCTAGAATATTACAATATTACAAATTAAATATTTTCAAATAAAATTGTTATAAATAACTTTTTAAATTGCTGCAGAAATTTTTGTAACTATTATACTTTATTTGAAAAAATTACAATAGTTTGGGAGGGAGGAAAGGGTCAACTCATCGCCTTTCTTTGTTTTAATATAAGCAGCAGAATTTACAAACCTTTTTACAAAAATTTGCTTATGATAATTTTTAATTAAGGTAACTCTTTTTTAAGAAAAGTTTTTGTCTTTGTATTAGGCTTAAAAAACTTTAATCATCAAACCATTTGATCATTAATTTTAATAAGAATTTTTTTAATAATAACTGTTGTTTTAACTAATTTTTTTGTTATGGCTATTGAACTAATATATACAGACACAGATATAAAGATATACATTTACTAGACTATTCCAATAAAATAGTTTTTTTTAAATTTTAATAAACATTGATTTTCATAATTTTTCTTTTATGATTGGGCTTCTCTCGATGGTTCCAAATGTCATTTTTTGCGCTCTTTGCCCTTTTTTCAGAAAAACTTAGTGCCTACACATTATGTGTCTTTTAGGATGCATGCCCTCTCTTTATTCTGTGATATGCTGAGAAACCATTGTAAGATAAATCTAAAATGAAAAAAGTTATTATGAAAAAAGTAGAGACATCACATATATATAATTAACATATAATCTTTAGCTGTATTTGTTGTTTTGCCAGTCTTAAGCAAGTATCCTTTGCCAAATCCCCCAAATTTTTCAATGGGATAGACAGGGTTGGCAAAAACCCGGGTTTTTTTAAAAAAACCCGGCCCAGTGGGTTTTTTTGGGTTTTATTGGGTTTTATTGGGTAAATTTGGGTTTTTTTGGGTTTAATTTTTATTTTGTCTCTGTAAAAATTTTTTTGTGTTTTTGTTTAATGATATTGAAAATTAGTTTTTTTCTACTTTAACTTTATTTAAAATATATTTAATATATTGTTGTTTAATTATTTATAACAAGAATTTTTCAAATTATTTTGAAAAAGATTTTTAAATATAATTTAAAACTGTAATAGAAAAAAAAAAATTCACGCTTAATCTATATGTATTGATTTATTTTAAATTTAAAAGTATTATTCTATATAATTAAAAATGTCAATGAGAAAATGTGAAAAAGAAGGCTTGAGAATGGGAGGTAGTAACTGAAGTTTCAATTAAACTTTGAACTTGAAATTCAAATAAACAAACTTGTTCCTCTGCGCAGCGGCCTTGTTTATAAAGATTCGTGTTTAGGAGTTAAAGAGTTTGTTTTTTTTTTAAATCAATTCACCTCCTCAAAGCTTATGACCATATGTCAAAACTACAGGCGAGGAGGCTACTTATTTGTGGTTATAACCCTCTCTCAACTCTATAACTCCGAAACACGAACCTTGACAAACAAGGCCGCTGCGCGGATAAAGGAGTTGAGCGCGGTACTGCCAGGGACGTGGTGGGGATTGAACTCAGAACCTCTCACTTATGAAGTGAGCGCTCTACCACAACACCACTACCGCAGAAGGGTTGTAACCACAACAAGGTAGCCTCCTCGACTGTTGTGTTGGCTTCTCTGGTCACTACTACTCATTTAAATTTAACTTGGGAGGTGAACAACATAAAGTAATAAAAATCTCAATCGATAAAAATATTTGAATAAAAATTGTAATAATGTATTTCCAAATAATGATTCAAATAATAGTAAACCTGCTCTGATAGCTGTTATTGTTGGTTATAATAGTTAATAATAATAGTTAATAATAATTAAGTTAATAATAATAGTTAATAATTATTTTAGTAAATAATATTATAGTTATAATGTTAAAGTTGGTTACAATAGTTCATAAACTTATTAAATATCTTTAAAAAAACCCAATAAAACCCAGATTTTCTAGGGTTTTATTGGGTTTTTTTAGGCTGGTTTTTTTGGGTTTTATTGGGCGGGTTTTTTTGGGCGGGTTTTTTAATGCCAACCCTGGGGATAGAACTGTGTGAAGATTGATGGATTTAGCTTTTTGGTATAAATTAGATATCTCTCGAACTGTATCACTCTTCTTAGAATAATGACAAGAAGCAAGATAAGGCCTGAATCAACAGAGGACATAGTGACTTTGATAAAATTGCAAAAGTCTAGCTTGCAAGTATTCTTTAATGTAAATATCCGAGTTTAAAGTTGATGATGTGACAAAAGCTCGAGATCTCAAACCACAGCTGCATGTTGCTTACCAAAATTTAATTTTTAAATAACTATGAAACTTTATACCTTTTAGGTTGTTCTCTGTTCGATAAGCCAAGATTTTGCGTAAATGATTGTCGAATACTAATTGCTGCTTTCTTATCCTTAAAGCCACTCTTTCTTTCAGATCTATTTGCTTGTTCGATAGATAGAGAGCTTTTGTATTGTTTTATGACCATATAAACAGTAGTTTTGCTAGATTCAGACCCTTTAGTGGTTGAAAATAACGATGCAGAAGGATTTTGTAGATAGTTCTGCAGAATTTTTTTCGTTTTTCTAAATGTTTCAATGACATTTTAAGAGAAACATTTTGACTTTAGTTTGTTGATGGTTTTAATTAATACTGTAATTATTTAATGTAATTATGCGGGGGAAAAAATTAGTGATGTGTTAGTGACAAGTTTTAAAACAAAATTTATCGTTCCAAATTTAACGATCTCATACTTTAGTATAATTTTAAAGATAAGAATATCCTTTGATCATTAAATCACGCATCAAATATTTAAAATTATAGTATTAATTTAAAAATACAATACAATAGCAATTTATGCAATACTGTAATGTTTTCATAAATAATTTACTTTTTTTTAAAAGCATATTTAGAAATACTATTAAAGGATAGTATTTTGTTGAGCAAAAAATTGTTAAAATATTCATTTTTATTACGTTTTGGCAAGACAGCACTGTTTAAAAAAAATAGAAACTCAATAAATAATTCATTCACAAAATCAGTTAAAAAATAAATAAACAAAGTTTTAAAAAACATACATTTAAAAAAACAAACATGAGAGTGGCTCCAGTTCCACCAAAAAACAGCCGCATATATATATATATATATATATATATATATATATATATATATATATATATATATATATATATATATATATATATATAAACAGTGGCATATATAAATATATATATATATTTGGTATATATATAAATATATATATCAGGCCTTCTCGTAAGAGGCATGCGATCGCCTTATATGACCACGCATAAAGTTCTTTGTTTTAACAACTTGACCACGGCCCTTTGCAAGTTTTGATAATTTGCGTGTTAAAAAATGCGCTAAAAAAAAACAAAGCAAATTAAAATTATAATAAACAATCCATAAACTGAAAAGAGAATAAAATCCTTAAAACAATATATAATACAAAAATTAATCTAAAAAAATAAAATATTCAAAGAATGATAAAATAAATAAAAACCAGAAAAAAAAATCAAAACATTTATTAATTAATGTAAACTTAATTGTAAACGAAAGTAAGAAAAAAAAATTATTACAGCTCTAATAATCTTTATAATTTCTTCCCATGAATAATTAGGCTAATACAAGGGCGAATCCATTGTGAGGGAAAGGAAAATTTAATTTTTATGACTTGCTCAAAAACAAAGGTTTACTAAAATTATTTTTTTACAAAGTATTCAGTATACTTATAACTTTAATACCTTTTTCTTTTTTTTTTATCAAGTTTTTGTCTTGATAATGTTCCAAGAAAAAGTTAGGGTTTACTTAAACTGTTCCTGCAGCTAGCTATCAGAAATATTTTTAATTTTTACTTTGTTAAACACAATGGATTTTGATTGAGTGCCATACTTCATTTAGCTTCTTAAACAAGGATTATCTAAACCAATTATTTTAATGCTCAAATAAATGTTGTAGCAGTGAACAATATGTAGTTCATAAATGTGATATCTGCATGCTAGGAGAAAAAGAGGTTTGTCAAGTTCTGTTGCTAACCTTACACTTTTTTGTTACAAGTATTTACTGAAGTTGTAACAAAAACACAATTTATCAGAAATATCAAAGCTTCAGAATTGTTTTTTTTTTGTTTCTTCAGTATAAAAGATAAGGTGAGAAATCCCAGTTCCAAAAAGCCCAGTCTCTCTACCTATTTTGATGGAAGCAGTCTACTATTTGTGAACTCCTTTACTAACTGTTCATTGAAATGGAGAATAGTTTTACAAATACTTTGCAAAAATTATTTTAAAAATTATCTAAGAGAAGACTTTTTGTCAAGACAAATGGGAGTAAAAAGGTAAGTCATCAGCAACTTGAGCTACTTTAGATATCGTAAGGAAGGCTATAAGGAAGATTATTAATGTATATAAGAAACAACACTGGACCAAGGATAGAACCTTGAGGCACTGCGGAAGTTGTTGCAAATGAAGAAGAGTGTTGGGATGTTAGAAATTTGTTGATCAAAGACTCAAAGACCTTGCTAATAATAGAGAAAAGGCTGATCAAACAATAGTTAGAGGGGACAGAATGTTCTCCAGAGTTTTTCAAAATTGGAGCCACTGATGCTATTTTCCAGCAGGTAGGAAAACAAGGTTCAGTTATCTTTTATGATTAAATCATGTTTTTAGTAACAATTGGTATAAATCAATTTCCATTACTTTCTATTAAAACTGTTATAACTAGAAATATATAAAAATATCATTACAAAAGCATGAGCTGTTACTATAACATTATACAAAGATAACTTTTCCAAGTGATAAAAGTTTTATTCTAATTCTCTTACCTAAAGCAGTTCCTATCATTCCAGAAAATGCTTTAAAAGTTATATATAAAATTCCTGTATCTATGGTTAGTTAAAAACAACATGTGATTAAATTATGCTCTTATTTTTTGATAAAATACTACTAGAAATAATAATAATTATTATGTGAGTAATAAATGTAATAAATAATAAATGTAATAATGAAATAAATAATAAATGAGCATTTAAAGAAAACGCCCCTTCTCCGTACTGGAGAAATTTTAGCAAAAATATTGCAGAAAAGCAGTGTTTCTTTTAAAAAAAAATATTTGCCGTAAAGAAATGAAGAAAAAAAAAATGTCCTTAATTTTTAATTTGGGGGTAGCCCAAATATGGTCGATGCTGTCAAAAATGGTCTAGAAGAGCTCCTGATAAGGGTTTTCTATGAGTTTATATATTATAAGTTTTTTCTATGGGTTTAGAATCTAATCACATCAACAAAATTCAATTTGCTATAAACAATTAATGTAATAATTTTCCTATAGGTTTAAAAGTTTATGAAAAACATTTGTATGTAAAAATAGAATTGTAAATAATATTACTTCACTCAAAATTAAAGCTAAAACTCGTCCTTGTTTATTAAAAATTGATTTTAATATAGGGGTTTACTAATGAATAAGCATAAACAAAATTTTTTGGATCTAATAAAGTATTAATAAAAAAATATAATATAGATATTTTTTTATTTATTTGAATTTCATGCTACATTTTGCTATACGATGCTTTTATACTGATAGCTGTTCCTAAGATATTGTTGCTTAGCATGGAACAGCCACAAATAGTCATAAAAACTAAGATATTGTTTAGCATGGAACAGCCACAAATAGTCATAAAAACTAAGATATTGTTAGCTTAGCATGGAACAGCCACAAATAGTCATAAAAACTAATATAAATTAGTGTCTATTATTGGCTAACAACTTTGCTTACCTAAGTACTACACCAGGGGCTATTTTAGACAGCTTCAACTGTATTTAAGCACCACCCAAATTCAGAAATAAAGGACTTTATTTTATTTTATGGCAAATATTGTTTTTTACACCAAAAAACAACAAATTTCTGGCAAGTGGGGTACCGCAGCCAAAATTATTGTCCTAGAATAGCCTCTACACAATACATAAGTGCTGAGTTAGTGGTGACTGGATTTCAATTTGTATTGCCCATCAGTCTATGTTTTAACAATAATATTTAAATTAATAATATAAACATTTAATAAAAAATCCATAAATATCTTATATTATAGAATATCAATGAAACAGAACTTTATCAAAATTATTATTGATACTCAAAGGGTTACTAGGTATGATGATGTGTGTCATATTATTTTTTATTTTTTTTTATAAGTAAAAGGAAAATAACTTAATATAAGAAGAAATTAAAACCCCCTCTTAAGAAAAAAATTAGTTATGGGTGTTATGAGGGATAGCGTTGGTGGTGGGTGTAATGAGGGTTGGGTATGGTGGTGAGGGTTTATGGGTTGTTTGATGGTTGTGGTGGTTAGGGTGCGGTTAAGGTGGTGGTGGTGTTAATTGGTTTTGTGGTGTGTGTTAAGTGGTTTTGGGTTGAGTATGGTGGTGGTGGTTATGGTGGTGCGGTTAAGATGGTGGTGGGTATGTTGGTTGGGGTTGTGCAGATGGGTATGGTTTTTGGGTGGTTGTGGGTTGGTGGTGTTGAAATATTTATGTTTATAATTTTTTTTGTAATCTAATATTTATAATTAGGATTTGTGATACGATAAATTTTTTATTTATTACTTTGTAATTTATTATTCGTCTGCAGGGACAATATCTGCAGGTGTAATATCAGTGAAGCTTATAATTTAAAAAAATATATAAATAAAGTAATTTAAAAAAATTAATACGGCTATGGTGTGAAGTAAAAATTCAGTTCCGCATTCTCAACAGTACAACTCAACGTAGATTTTCACGTGGAAAGAAGACCTAAGGAAAGACGAAAAGTGCTCATGTGCAAAAGAAAAACAAAACAAAAATATAAACCAACCAAAGAAAATATAAAAAAAGGAAGAGTTGGAAACAGGGTATATAAATAGGTTTTAACCAAGAAAACTTAAAGGCGTAAGATGGTTGTTTTTATTGGCAAAAAAAAAATGAATTAAGTAATTTATTTTAAAAAAACAAAGATAGAAAGATTTTATATAAAAAAATTTAAAAAAATAGCCAGAACAAAAATACAGTCCTATATTATATATTTATAACAAAACATGGAAAAAGATATATATATTTTTTATATTATAATATATTATACCTTTTTAATTATATAATTAAAAAGGTAGGAATAATGTACAAGTATAGTTTAAATGTTTTAATATCAGCGGATATTTTAAAATCATTCTCTCATATAAAAACATTTGATTTGGAAAAATGAGATATTATGAAGTTAATTTTTTTAGCGTGTATTTTAAAACTCATTGTTATGCGGACATAGATGGAAACACAGATAAACTTGAATGTTCTCAAAACAACTTGTTGCAGAAAGATAATATAAAAAACATTTGCTAACACTAAAATATTTTAAATATGTGTTTTTTATAATAAATTAAAATCAATCGCAAAATTATTTTGAAAAAAATAATTGCTGAAATAATGCGTTAGTTTTGAAAAATCTTAATGAAATGCCAAACAAATAAGCAAAATTACAGAAATGTGTTGTTTATTTTTCTTTTTATCTTTTAACTAATGCGCGCACGTTTGTTGATTTGTCACACACTGTATCCTATTAACTTTTTTATAAAATTTAAAATTTGCACCACAAAATTTTATTAAATTCCATTGCACTTTTAAACAGCCTCAGTTACTTAGGTTTTCAAACATCATTTTCTAAATTTAAAAAAAAAAATCTGAGGGAGGGGGGCAAACGCCCTTATGACCCTTTCTCTACAATGAATCCGGCCTTATATTAGCCTATTTATTGATAGGAGGATAAGATACAGAATAATAGAGCTATGATATTTATTTTTTTTTACTTTTGCTTGCAATTAAGTTGAGGGATTGTCCATAAATTACGTAACACAAAATTTAACTAATAAACAAAAGAAAAAGTATTTAAAGTTTTCCCTCGCAGAATCTTTAATTAAACCATGTATAAATAACCCTTTTGAGCGGCGGCAAAAGCCGCCGCTCAAAAGAGCAAAATGTTCTCCTACTTATATTTTTAAAATAAGCTTTGCATTGCGTAATTTATGGGCGATCCCTTACATAAATTAATAAATTTTTGATTTTTTCCCTGGTTTTTCCTTTATTCATTTTATCATTCTTTAAAATTTTAGGTTAATTTTTTTATTATATATATTTTTAAGGATTTTATTTTCTTTTCAGTTTATGGATTGTTTATTTTAATTTTACTTTGCTTCGTTTTTTTTAGCACATTTTTTTAGCGCATTTTTTTAATAGCTATCTATCAAAACTTGCAAAAAGCTGTGGTCAATTTGTTAAAAACAAAGAACTTTATGTGTGGTCATATATAGCGTGCGATCGCATGCCTCTTGAACAAAGGTCTGCAAGTAATACTTAATTATTACTTAAATAATTAATACATAATTTTTGATCTAATAATACTTAAGTAATATATTTACTTGAATATTTATTGCTAAATCTTTTATAAAATTTTTTTAGGCAAGCTGATTCGTATGTCACCAGGAAATTTATTTGTTGATTTGGATCCAACTTCTGCTCCTTCACAATGGCCTGGTGTTAAATTTTTAATAACTCTGCTTACATCAAGCAGCCGGGATCGTTCTCAGCAAATTCGCTTATTGTTATGTGAAATAAGTGTTGCTATTTATTTAAGTATGCTTGTCAGTGCATCATCACGACTTTCTTGTCAAAATCTATATCGTCTGGTAACAAATAGTTTATCTGAGAAAATGTGGAATGCAGCATTTGGAGGTGGTACTAAAGTTGTGGTGCATGCCCCAGATGAAACTGATAAACCATTTTATGCTCAATCGCCAAATTTTGATTTAAAAAGAGATACTACTAGGATGAGATGGAATTACAAGTTGCTAGGTAATAAGAGTTTATCTACAGCTAACATTGGTGAAGAAGAAAGAGGGCTAGTTCGACATGAACTTTTTATTTTACCAAAATCAACTCTATGCGACTATTTTCTGAGAAAGGTAGTTTTTTACACTTATTGAGTTTCTTGCATTGTGTGTCATCAAAACTGGTAAATTTTTTTGTCTGATTATTGAGTTGAATTTGGTTTAAAAAAATTTATTTTCAAATTCAAATAGCCTTATTTTCAATATGTGAATACTAAAAATAAATGTAAATGCAAAATATTTTTATAAACAGGAAAAAAATAATTTTTGATTCGAAAACATTTTTCAAATTTTTCATTAATGTTTGTTATTAAAATAGTATTATGTAAAAGAAAATATAAAATATTGAAACAATTTTTAGAAGTTGTCTACATGTTTTTCATTTTTATTTTAGGTACAGTTTACAATTTCATTAACATTCAAATGCATAACTTATTTGTCATCTTTAGGCGCCATCTACTGTTGAATGTCATGAAATTTCATAGTTTTAACAGTAAGAAGTTGAGAAATATATATTTCATGACATTTAACTGTTGTATCAAAAAAAAAAATTTACTTGTTTTTTTAATTTTTTTATTACTTAAATTGTATATATTTTTAATTATAATTATAAATAAATTTAAAAAAATTGGTAATATTTTTGTGTAAGAGGACCTAGTTAACTTGAATATTAATTTTCCTATTGATGATGTCATGATAAAAAATACTTAATACTTAAGTTTTTGCATGGTTAAATGGGATATAGTTTAAGAAATATTAAAAAAAAAACAAAGTATGAAAAAGCTTTTGACAGAGTGCCAAGAGGTGTAGTATGGAGGTTATTTAGGTGTTGATGAATGGTTAGTAATAGCTATTATGGCTATGTATGATATAACATCAAAACAGCAATCAAAATTAAAGATGGAAAAAATAAATCGTTTCCTTTTTGTGCAAGTGATATTTTGTAGTACCATGAACACATTCAAGTTCACTTGCTAAGCAATACATTGTTAATCTTTTGATTGCTTTTAATTAGATTTAAATGCTCTAAATTCAATACTAAATCTGGTCTCCAGCATTAAAACCATTTAATTGTTCATATTTTGCATGGCTTTGGCTCGGCTAAAACAATTAAAGCATGCAATACTGTACATGGTCTTAAGTACTTTTCAATTTTCACTGTATACAGATATTGCAATCAGAACTTTTAATCAGCCTGATTAGTTGTTTAATGTCAAATATTATATATACTCAAATAATGAAAACTTCTTGAAGCCTCCAGAACTTTCTTAGAATATTTAGAAAAATCTATAACTAATTTTTATTCATGGCAATTAATAAAAAATGTTTGTTGGTTTTTAGCCACAAAGAACTTCCTTTAATTATGACTCTGAAGAGGATGAATTTTCTGATGATGAAGATAAAACAAAGGATCATGAGGAAGATGATCCTTTAAAAAGTGAATCTGAAATCAAGATAAAGAGAGATTTGAAAGAACTAGAAAACAAAAAGCTAAATGAACATTGTGACAGTATGTCATATGCATGGCTTATTATGCAGCTTGGAATTGTTAAACTTACATCTTTGAATATAAATAACTTTATCTCCATGTTAGGATTCGAAATTTTAGGTAAGAATTGTTAAGGTTTTTTGGAATAAAAGGGGTTGCTATTTTCTTATTTTGTTATGTTTATTATTTATGACAATGAGGAGTTTAAAATTTATTTTACAGATTTTTTTTTTTATGTTGTAAGTTATGGTACAACTCTCTCAACTCTTTAACTCCGAAACACAAACCTTGACAAGCAAGACCGCTGCGCGGAGAAATTAAGTTGAGCGCGGTACTTCCAGGGACGTGGTGGGAGTCAAACTCTGAACGTCTCGCTTGCAAAGCGAGCGCTCTTACCACTACACCACTACCGCAGATCTACCAACACAGACTTTGTTTGTTTTTTTATGATAATAAATTTTTTTTAATTTTTATTTATTTATTACACAGATCTACCAACACAGTCACTTCTTCTTTATAATGCAACAAAGATTTTGATTCGCTGGGAACAACTGTTAACTGTTCAAATTAATGCTTCTCCAGCTTTAACTGAAAATGTAATAAGTTACCATCCACCTGTTTCTGGAGATGGTTTTCAAAGAGGCGGTGTAGCACTAAATAGACTAAAAACACTATTAGACCCACAAAATACCCCTTTTAGGTAGTTATTTATATATTTAAAAAATTATAAATAGTACTTTATTTTAGTGTTGAATAGAGGGTTTAATCTGCAAAATATTTAATTAGTTAACTAATATTTAATTAATGCAGTTATTGCAATAACTGTATTACTTATAGGTTTAAATAACTTGTTTAACAATAAAAGTTAGCATAATTAAGGATTTGTTAAATAAATTACATAATAAAAGTAAATTATTGAACATTTTAGTATCAGTTGATTCATACTAGATTAATATATTAGTTAACCTTTTTAAAGCCTAATAATTTGTTAATATGTTATAATACGTAATATATTTTTTTATTATGAAATATTAAAATTATTATATATTTGTTATTTGTTATAAAAAGTTTTGACATTGAAACTTTTGTTTTATATTATTTTTATAGTAACAAAACAACTAAATCACAACCTGCAAAAAGATTGTGGCATAGTCTAGTTTCTCATGAATCTCTGAGAGCAATGTTTCTTCATTATGCTTTTAGTTCTGTTTCTGAAGGAGTTCGTTTTTTTTTTTTTTTTTCTTTTTTTTTTTTAGTTATATTTGGTTTTATAATTAAAATATTTTTTATGAAAACTGCATTTATTAAAAGTCTATAGTTTTGTTAAAAAAAAATTATATTTGCAATTTTAATTTTTTATTACTTATTTTATTTATTTTTCATTATAGGATGATGAAATCGACTATGATTCTTATTCCTGTCGTGTTTTGCACAAAGATCCTGAGCCTGTTACAAATTTATGTCTAAATAAAGTATGTGTTGTACATAATGAAAAATGTGCTTAAGTAATTGATATTGTTAAGACTGACAAAAAATTTTAAAATATTTTTTTTAAAAAAAATCCATTTTTATCTTTAATAAAGTAATGAAGAGTTTAAAAGATAATTTAAAAAAAAAAAAAAAAAAAAAAATTATTTTTTTAAAAAAAAAAGTAATTAAAATGTAAGTAAAAGAATAATTTATATAAATAAAAAATGGTTAATATAATTATATTTAAACAAAAATAAAAAATAAATAAAAGTTTTAATAAAATGTTAGCAACAAATTTATTAATTTGTTGTTAATAATCAACTTTTTTTTAACTATCATTTATTATTAATTGTGGTACTTCATTATTTCATCGAGTATCACTTAATATGACTTATATGAGTTGATGCAAAAAATTAAATAATTTTTTTTTCCCTACATAAATTTGTTAATTAATTAAATGTTTGTTAAAAAATATCAAGACTTTTGATTAACTAAAGTAAAGAGAAGAAAATTCTCTATTTTTTAGTTAATAAGAAATAAAAGAGGTAAAAAATACTAATAAAAAAGAAAAGATTAAAAGTCAATCAAAAAATTAAGGTTTTTTTAGGTAATTTTAAAAAATGTTAAATTATAACTGATGTCAAATACTTTGCATATATTCATTCAAGTTTAATAGTAATAATTTAAAAAGTTTAAACTTATATTTTTATTGTATTCTTTTATTTAAACACAACTTGCATTACAACTTATCCCTAACAATGGGTGTCTCTTTAGGCTTTACCTAAAATTTCAGAAGCATTTAAAAAGTGAAGAATTTTTATTTAACTCAGATACACAGTTACTTTATGCATGTATTTATTTGTGATTGTGATTAGATGTATTTTGATAATTATTTTAGTCCAACTTGGACTACATGGCAATTTCCACAACTCAAGAAATCATTGAATACGATATTTCTGGTGCATTTAAAGTTGATTTGTTTTCTTTTGATGTGGAAGGAAATAGTAATTCTAATGAAAATAGGTATTCTTATTTTAATAAAACTCTAACCAAAATTTTTATAATACTTA